TAGATTTTATATTTACCATTTCTGACTTATATATACTAATAATAGGATAAATAACACAGTGTCTTATACTACTGCCTTTATGTTCTATATTTTTGGGAAATATTTTTGAAGAAGACGATACATTGTATAAGCATAGGCCAAGCTTCTTATATCTTACATTATCTTTAAGAAAGTCATTTTTTTTTCAGACTTTGGATTTATTTCATTTGGAAATTTATTTATCTAGAAATATTAAAAAATTTTAAGTATCAGAAGGAAGGAATTGATAAATGAGCTAAACATAACTTAAAACTGGCATCTTCAGATCTTAAGGAACTCCAGCTTTTACAGACTTCATCAGCAGTGTGTCATAAAATTTATATCTGATTTCTACAGTAGAGTCAAACTCATTAAATAATTTTCAATTTGAAGTCTGTCACTTTCTCAGTTGCAGCAGTTATGCCGGTAAATATGATACTCCTCTTCAACTACCTGTTTGAGGGTATATCTGTATATACGAATATATAATCATAAGGCTGCTGCCGCTGCTTGTGCCTGGGGGGCGAGAGGCGATGCGGCTGCTGTAAGCTGGCTTTGATGATGGGTACGGTGTGATCCATTTTGAGCATGACCAAGCTAATCTCTTCGGCCAAGTATTGTCAACGGCTTTGTGGGGGCTGATTATGTTGGCTTGGCTTCAACTTGAGCTATGCGGCTGCCAAGAGAGGCCTGTCGACATCTTCCACTGGACATTTTCCAATCTGGAGCGTTTGCCAGTTTGTTGCTGTTGCTGTTGCTGTTATGTGTCGCTGTCTGTTTGTCTGGCTGACTGCGTTTTTCGCGGTTTTACAACTTTGATTTAACTTTTCTTTGCAACATGCGACGTTGCTGGTTGCTTGCTGTTGTTGTTGTACATTCACTGGCCGTTTTTTGAACTGTTTGCTTCATTGCTCTCGTTGTCGTCGTCGTATTTGCTGCTGTCGGTCCGCTTAAACTTTGTTACTCTTTAATTGGTTTTTTTTTCTTTCGCTCCCCATCATCATCTGCTTTGGGCATCCGTTTTTTTTAATGATGATGCAGTCGGCTGGCCCGAGCGTTGGCCATAATTGTCAACCACTTTTGCACGTTAGCCACAAATTATAAACACATCGATATGCAATGCCATTTGAAGAGGTTTCCAAGCCGCGTCTTTTTGGAAAAATTGAAAACTGCCGGGAAAATGTTGATAAAAAGGCATCAAAATATTTGCAGAGATTAAATTCCTTTTTACTTATGGTAAAGTAGATATGTAATTAGCTTATGAAGGGCTTGCTAATTTCTAAGACTTAAAAACTTTAAATCTTATCGTGTATAATTAATAGATATTTGATAACTTTAGGAATATTTTCTTAGTAGCAAAAATGAATCGAAAAATTTAATTTAATTTGTCAAAGTTGGAAATCTTTAAAAATTGAAATTATTTTTTCAATATGTGCTTTTTCTTTCAGTTGAACACAGAAATCAATAACTATTTCCAAACCCTAATACTTCATATATTTTTATAACAATATTGTTTTAATTTTAATGTTATATAATATATATTTATATAATTTTTATTTTATTTGTATTTGTACATATTTTATTTTAAATATATAAAAAAGTATAAATAAATAACAAAATAAAATATAGTTTTTAAAGGTATCTAAACTTTAAGAACTGCGAGATTTTCTTCACAGCTCCGTCTCTCTGTATAAGCTGCAGTTGAGGTATTTCCATGTGTCCGCTAGGGTAATCAGATTCTGTATGATCATTGGATATAGCTATATCTTCTACAATATAGAAATTTTTAGTTAAGTAAGTAACCGTTTTCGAGCCTTGTAAAAGTATTGTGCAGATTGTTATTGAGCTGAACATATTTAATATTAGAACTTATCAAAGACCAACCTTTACTCTATGTATATATATATTTATAGGTAAAAAAGCTTCTCGTAATTGTAATGAACCCAACTGAAGTTCACCTTATAATCGCACTTATCTATAATAACTTAATTATAAATGAGCTCAGCTGAGTTCATCCCAGCTGGCCAATCAAATTGATTAACAGCTCGCGCACTCCCTCTCTTTATCTCTCTCCTCCTTTTCTCTAGACCCCCACTATGCACTCAAGATCATCCAGTTTAATTGCTTTGTCTGAGTCATAAATCGATACGATTGAACGTTACTTAGATGCTACTCTAAATATGATTCAAGTTCGTAGTGGACTCGACTATCTCTAGTTTAGCAGCTGCGAGTGCTAAATATCGGTTTTGAGATCGCAGATCTGGTATCTTATGTCATCAACGAGGCGGCCAACGCAAAAGTTCTCAAGCTCCAAATACTTTTTGTTTTGTTTTGTGTTTTGGGTAGAAATATTTCAAGTCTTACAAATGGCTGAAAGCAGTAAATCAAAGCAGCAAATGCGGCTAATTAAGTTTTAGGCCAACAGCAACAAAAGGCAATTTGTTGTGCGGCTATGTATGTGTGTGTGTGTGAGTGTGTTCAAGTCGCTAAATGCTGCACCAGCCCACGGAAAGTGTCTCGTGAAATATTCTGTTCTAGATAGCAACTGCAACAGTTGCAGCTTCATCGAACGCCTACTGCTGCACTATGTGCCAGTGGCAGTTGCTGCTCTGATACCCTGTAATTTGATTGAAAAACAGTTTTGTTCATAATGAGCAGCAGTTCATAATTTTTATATTTATCTTAAGCTAAGATATGAGCTTCATATTTTATATCAATTTAACTCGAATTATAAAAAGTTCTCAATTGTTTTTGAGCATCACTATGTCTCTTAGAATTAGAAATTCTCTCAAATTGAATTTTTATTATAAGTTTTATACTCATAATATATATTTTTTATTATTTTCTAATATTTTATATTTATTTTTAATACATACTAAGACCCAATTTATATCAATCTTTTCAATAATTATTTTATATATATATATTTGAATATTTAAAGGAATACCCCTAATCAAATATAAAATAAATAAAGTTGTAAATAAATATATCTACAGAGAGACATATAATTAGCGTTGTAAAGTCGCAAGGTGCTATAAATTTTAGTTTTTATAGCCTTTGGCCACTGCACTGAACTAAGATTAAAGAGTTAATGATTTTAGTTACCTACCGAATAGAAGAAGCTGCATTAATTATTTATGTGCCCAACAACAATCGTTTACAGAGTATCTTGAGGTCTATAACTTAGCAACACGCGCACCTTGACTGCTTGCAATTGCAGTTGCAGTTGACTTTGTTGACTGTGAGTGGCTTTGTCTTAGCTGCTGCTGCTTGGTTCACATGACTTGCGTGCCATCTGCCTAGAGGCCAAGTGGCAAAGAGGTAAACTTCCAGCTGGCAACTGCTTCAGACTGTTTGGCTAAACTGCAGCCTACGCAGCACGCACCTCAAACTGACGACCTCCATGGGGCAAGTAGTATGACTACCCCCCTCCCCCACTCCACCCTCTGCTAATGTGTACTTAGATGTTTGTCAGTGTTTTTTTTGTCTGTTTTGTCTTACATAATCGTCACTCTAGATACCGTTAGCATTCGTTTTTTTTCTTCTTCTTATTACTATATTTTTTTCTTGTTTCTTTCCGTTCTAAAACAACACACAATAGAACAATTGTTTAAACTTATGTAGCGCAGCGGCTTTTGGCATTGCGCCAAAAAAAAAAAGAAAAAATGTTAGTCAAAAAATAAAAAAACGCAACAGAATTAAGTTGTCGCATGAAAATTGTGTTCTCTTTAAGACAATTATGTTTCTTTTTTCTTTTTTTTTTTGGCACATTAAGCATTCTTCTTCTTCTCTTCTTGTTGGTTGGGTTTGTTTGTTTTTAATTTTTATATTTTTTTATTATATTTTTTATATTTTTGTTAAAGCCATGACGTAGATGGGAATTACCCCGCGCCATTAGAACCTGCGCAGCTGTGGGAATTTGGGATGTGACGCACCTGAAACTGTGCTACCTGGCAAAATCGCCATAAAGAAATGAAGTATCTACTATTCAGTGAGAGATAAGTCGTTAGTTGACTTGAAATGTATAAGTATAGCATTGTCTGGGCGTAGCTTAACGCTTCTAGCTGATACGTGCACAATATTTAAGCAAAATATGCTTAGCTACAAGTTGCATTAAGCTGAGCAGCAGTTGTATTAGGCAGATAACTACTCTCTCACCCAGTTATTTGGACAACTGATTCATTGGAATTCGGATTTGAATACTAAGTATATTTGGATCGAATGTTGTCTTAGCCGAAGGTCTTTGCTTGGTTGATCAAATGCCATGACAATGTGCCTAATTAGTGTTTGCACCACTTACTCAGTTCATCTGAGACATTAAGTATACGCAGCGCGGCACAACTTATATAGAAATATTGTATCTTCGCACTCATAAGTTGCTCAAATAAAATTAAAAAATAAATATTTAAATATTTTATTTCAGTTTTACATATGTAAAAGTAAAAGCTAAAATATTTTTAAAATTATAGAAAAATTAATTTATTTATATTAAGGTTTTTCATTGTGCACTGCCCATTTTCTGTCGATCTATCTCTAGACACACGAAATTGTGAACATATTTTCTTGATTATAAGCCCCAAATAAATGTATAGAGCAAGTAAACTAAACACTAAATTCTTCAGCTAAATTAATATGCCCCAAAAAGTTTCCATAGAACATGCTCTATAGACTAAGTCAGAAATAAGTTTATGTTGCACAGTTTCAGGGCAAGCTATGCAGATGGCGCACGGCAGAACGTTGCAGATAGATAAACAGATAGATCTATAAATGATGTCAGTTTGATCATATACTTTTGTGAAAGACATAAATATTGACTTAGGTTTTTGCGGCGCAAACCAGACGCTGAAGCTCTACGTTTTTATTTTTTTATGACTTTTAAGAATTAAATAAAATATTTAAAAATATTGTTTATTTATTTTTGTCTAATTTTTTCAAATATAAATTCTAATCTATTTCATATCTCTCTCTTCATCTTCCAACAGGTTAATAAGTCCTGCCTTTGAGCACATCTTAACTCGAAGACAGCAAAAATAAAAGAAGAAGAAGATTTTTGCAGAGATCCACCAAAACTGAGCAAGCTGAGCGACAAGGGCAACAACAACAACCACAATCGAACCAGTTAACAGTTATGAGAGAGAAAGACCACTCACCAAGAAAGATGCTTCCTAGCCCAAAACAGGGCTGTGTTTACCCTGCCTTAGGTTTAATACCCACATCGTATATATCACATGTACCTTATGATCTGTCCGCCTCGACGACGGCGGCAACAGCCACCAGCAGCATGACGACAACAACAGCAGCGCGACACCAGCAACACCAACAACAGCAGCAGCAACAACAACAGCAGCAGCAACAACAGCAACAACAACAAACACACCATGGCAACAAGGCGAAGCGACGCAGCAGCTATGATCAGCCGCTGGATTTGCGACTGGCGCACAAACGAAGGCAGCCCGTCAAGCTGGAAGAGGAGGAGACGCTGGAGCCGCAGCCGCTGGAGGATGAGAACAGCAATCTGATTATGTTCGCCAACGAGCTGGCAGCTCAGCGCAAGGAGAAGGAGCTGAACAATAATCACATAGCCGCCTCGCTGGCAGATCTGGGCTTCGATATGAGCCGCAAGATGCTGCGCGCCTTGCGCGAAGGCGTCACCACATCGCCGCCAGCGCCAGCGCCCAATGCCATTGTTGCTGCCGGCGTGCACTCGACGCTGCTGGAGGCGATGACCAAGACGCTGCCGCTACAGTATCGCAATGTGTTTGCGCCGCCAGCGACGGGCGCGACATGTCCCACGGCGCCGGAGTTTGCGTTTCGCCATCCGCTCAAGAAGAGCGATCTGAGCTGGGCGCCCAACGAACAGCAGCAACAGCAGCAGCAGCAGCTGAAGCTAGAGCAACTGAAGCTGGACTTGCCCACGCCCACGCCGACGCCGCATCCGCATCCGCATCCGCATCCACATCCGCAGCTGCAGGAGTTTCAATCACGGCAACATTCGCGCAAGGCCAAGCAGCGACAGGCGCAGTCGCAGTCGCAAGCCCAAGGCCAGCCGCAGGCAGCGGCCGCTGCTGCTGGCAACTCTCTGCCCGTGCAGCGCAACAAGGATCGCTATACGTGCAAGTTTTGCGGCAAAGTGTTTCCGCGTTCCGCCAATCTCACCCGGCACCTGCGCACCCACACGGGCGAGCAGCCGTACAAGTGCAAATACTGCGAACGTTCCTTCAGCATCTCCTCGAATCTGCAGCGACATGTGCGCAACATCCACAACAAGGAGCGGCCCTTCAAGTGCGAGATCTGCGAGCGCTGCTTTGGCCAGCAGACGAACCTGGACAGGCATCTCAAGAAGCACGAATCGGACGCGGTGTCGCTGAGCGCATTGAGTGGCGTCAGCGAGCGCATGCACTGCATACGACGCTTCTGCGAGAATCCCAACGAGGAGTCCTATTTCGAGGAGATACGCACGTTCATGGGCAAGGTCACGCAGCAGCAGCAGCAACAGCAGCAGCAGCAGCAGCAACAGCAGCAGCAACAGCAGCCACAGTCACTGCCATTGGCAACATCGCGCAGCTCCGCCTCGTCCAGCTGCTCAGCCTCGCACACGCCTACATCCTCGCACACGCCCACGCAATCGGAGTCAGCGGAAACGCTGGCACAGGAGCTGCGCCGACTGCAGGCGGAGCGCGCCAAATCCGGCGACGACAGTAACGAGGAGCAGCAGCAGGAGCAGCAACTGGCGCAGCAGGCGCGCCAGCTGGAGGCAGAGGCCGAGGAGTCCAAGTGCATATTGCAGCTGAAGAAAACGCTGGCCTCCAAACTATTTCCCACAACAACAACTGCAGCAGCAGCAACGGAAACACCAGCGCTCAAGCAGGAACCTTAAGGGTCAACCTCACACTGCATCCCGTCCTGAAGCAGACGACAACAATTTCCTATACGGTAGAAGCGAGCAGCAAACAACACAGAAACTTGTTTAGCTGTAAATATATATATGTATATATAAATATATATATGCATATTTCATATTTTGTATTTTTTAATTTGTAATTTGTATGTTAAACGTTTTAATGTGTATATCGAATTGTACAAACAAAAAAGCAGGAGAAAAACGAGATGAAAATATTAAGTTGAAAATTGGCAAATGTACTATATCAGTTAGTTATTAAGCATTGGTATTTTTTTGTGTATATATGCAAAGCAACACGAGACGTATGTACGAAAATGACAACACAAGCGCCCACTGTTTAATAAAAAGTTACAAGTTTTTTTAAATTTACTAAAACTACGAATTTTGGTCGCATCTAAAAATGACACCTAGTGTTTGGTAGAGAAGTTAAGGGAAACACAATCTAGCGCCACAGAATGTGAAGCGTTGCAAGCGTCAACTGCTAGTATGTGTTGTGTGGCGCCATCTGATGTTACATATTAGTACAATACGTTTGTGATGGCAACAGTTAGTGCTTAGTAGGTAAGTTACAAATTAAGGAGTATGGCGCCACCTAGTGTGCAGTTAGCGAACAACCTGCCTTAAATAAATATACTGTACCACCATAAGGTGTGAAACTTTGCTTAACGCTTAACTTTCAGCGCGTTATAAATCAAATGCAGCACACAAATGCTTACTTATTGACTTTGCATTTGAATTTCAACGTTTGATTTTGTATATTAGGCAGATACCTTCGATAATCATTCAATTTGTGTTCAGATTTGTTACTGCTCTGCAAGTATTGTTGTAAATCTAAGTTAAATGTTCAGTGTCAAATAAATTGCCTGGCTTCAATATTATCCGAAAGATAAACATCAGCTGTTTAAACTTAACAGAAAACTTGCAGTGTTATGTTAATAACATTAGTTTAAGCTATTGAGTGAACAGCTGATCTGCTGCCAGATCGTGCCAGCTCGCGTGATCAACTGATAAGAGTATAACCAGTAAAGCACCTGCTAATTTTCCACGACGGCCATTGCCCCTCCCTTTTATCTACAGATTAAGTAAATGCGAGCCATTTAAATAATTTTATAACAATAATAATAAAGCTAATAAAGTTATTTTAGAGCAGATGGCAGCCAGCTTGACAACAATTACGAATATATCTCAGCTAACGGAACTGAAGGAGCTACATCTGATAGATTGGCCCAAACACTGTGTGGGCTTCTTTTGGCTGGACAACTACTTGCGCTGGCTGGCAAAGAACCCTGGCATGAAGTACTTAACTTTCTACACACTCGACGCGAATTGGCGCCGCGATGGACTCTTCCTGTTGGTGGTCTGTATGTGATATGGAAGCCCAGGGCCTATCAGCTTATAGCGTGGCACTTTTAGCACCGTTATCAATTGTTCTTCAGCAATCTGAGCAGGCAAAAGACACCTGAATTACTGACAGCCTTGACCCTGATGGACTGGACACGTGGCTACAAAGTGAGCGCCATCCACGAGACGCATCACGGCATCTACAAGCAGCTGCTAAAGGAGCATCATCTGTGCATGGATCGCGAAATGAAGACCATTATGTATCGACTGCCCTGCGAGCAGGCCAAAGCGCTGCAATTCAGCTGCCCGTCGGGTTACTTCTTGGACAATGTGCGGCTCGAGCATGCAGAGCTCATCAATGAGCTGTGGTCAGCTAAGCATACGGGCTCACTGAAGCTCATCCAGCTGCTGATCGAGATGAATACCAATGTGGGACTGTATGATCAGGCAACTGGGCAACTATGCGCCTGGTGTTTAAGGTTCGTCGGCTATGAATATGTTAAACCAACTCGAATTGAGTTTCTTCATTTGTATAGACTGCAGAGCGGCTTTCTGGGCGCACTCGAGGTGCTGCACACGCATCAGCGTCGTGGACTGGGCCTCGTTGTGGCTGCTGCCATAGCCAAGCGCATAGCGAACGACTTGAATCATGATGTGACCGCTCTGGTTAATCTAAATAATGCAGCTGCTTGCAAAGTGTTTGCCAAATTGGGATTTATGCTAATTGAAGGAGAGCATTATTACTGGAGCATGTGCTTGCCCACGGAAGGGGGCTCTATTAATTGGCGACTAAGCGAATGAGTGAATGGGCAGACAGAATGTACACAGCAAAGCTCTGTTATGTGATATCTATATAGCCATATAGCGTTAAGCTTTGTCAGATTAGTATTATCTTACCAGCTGCAGGCACAATATAAAGCGCAAACCTTCAAATGTTCTATCTTGTCACAAGTGTTCCGCTGAGCGAGCAACTGCCCAAAGATGAAGCTGCAAACTATAGAAGTACAAGGCCTGCGCCAACTGCAGGCGCTCTACAGTCGAGAGTGGCCCAAGTATATTCAGGAATTCTATAGCCTTAAGAATATGATTTCATTCCTAAAGCGTGATCCGGAGATGAAGCATCTGAAGGCTTACACTCTGCAGGATAAGCAGGCCCAGGAGCTGGGTCTCTATCTAATTGTGGTATTTATAAGCGAAAGGCTTTGCTTCAACAAAGATTTCATCAGAAGAGTTTTTAGGATCGCTATCAATTACTTCTGGGCTGCCTGGGTGAATCCTTTGCTTTGCTCAAGCAAGCGTTGCATCTGCTGGACTGGTCCAAGGGCTTCCTGTGCACGACTATGCCTAATCGATATATTGAAACTGTGCTGCAAGTGGTCAAAGAGCAACAACTGCCCATCGAATTTCAGCTGGACGATTTCATGCTTCACATGCCAGCCAAGCAGGCACTGCAGTTCCACATAGAGTTCGTTCTCTCTCTGATATCTGATATCTCTGTCTGCGCTTCTCTAAGCTGTTTCATTCAACAGCTGCCCGAAGGGCTTTTATCTGAAATCATTGGCCGAGCAAGATGCTCACCTCATTGATCGGGAATGGACTTATAGTCAAGAGGGCTCCTTGTACTTCATGCAGCGCCAAATACGCATGTGTCACAGCATGGGCCTATATGATGAGGAAACGCATGAGCTGGTGGCCTGGTGCATCAGGTTCCTACTGCAATTGCCATTATATTTGAATTTCTATTTGAGCAATAGTTTCTTTTAGAACACAAGATGGACTGCTGGGCGCTTTGCAGGTGCGGCAAACGCACAAACGCCGTGGCTTTGGCAATCTTATAGTGCGGGCACTTGCTCGCCGCATTGCCGAATCGGGCGACGATGTGACCGCCGAAGTGACCGTAACAAACACGGCCTCTCTGGACTTGTTTAATAAGCTTGGCTTTCAAAGAATCGATTATTGCCACTGGCTGAGCATTTTGCCTGCCAATGGCAGCAGCTTCAGCTGGCCAAAAGGGGAATAACCCAGGAAATACTTGGTAGATCTTTTGCAGAAGGCTTTCTCATTGAAGTTCAATTAAAAAATCCGTTAGATGATCTTGATTGAGCCTGGATATGTACACATAGTTATAAGAAACTCCAAGCTTAATCTAGTATAAAAACTATAATAAGTATACTTATAACTATATAAGTATAAATAACTATTAACATATATAAAAATTTATATATTCGAAATTTCTGCTAGAATATATATAACTGATCGATTCATAATGAACATGAAGATTCGTAATGAAATTAAAAAAATCTTAAATTGTATGAAACTATCGGAAAACCTTCTCTCGCTCTCTATCTCTCGCTATCGACAGCTGTAAAGCAACCCTCGATTAGCTTCCAGATGATAAGAAAACGTTAAGTTCGCTCTCACACTAACATTAGTTTTGAATAGTTTAGACTCTCTAATCTCACTCTCTTCAAAACATGTCTATGCTCACAGATCGTCTAATGCAATTCAGTTTGTTACGTTCGACAACGTCGTGAAGTCGCCTCTGCGCTCTGAACATGCCGCTTCAATTGGAACTGATCGGCCTTCAGCAGCTGGAAAACTACCAGCAGCATTACATCCAACAATGGCCGAAATATGTCGCTGAATTTTATTGTCTAGATAATTTTATAAGGTTCTTTAGAGTCGATCCACAGATAGAGAATATTACAGTCTACACTCTGTCCGAGCAGAAGGCCAAAGACGCAGCGCTCTTTGTTATCGTGGTTAGTCAGTATAGTTAGAGGACTGATTATCATAGATTGAAGATTTGCACTTTGTAGGATCGTTATCAACTGTTTGTGGGTTGCTTAGATAGTGGCAAAGAGCTGCTAAGGCAGGCGCTGGACTTACTTGATTGGTCAACTGGATTCAAATGCAGTTCCATACCCTTTCGGCACATAGAAGCACTCGAGCAAGTGGTAAAGGCCAAACAGCTGAAGCTGCGGTACAGCGATCTGACGAACCTGTACTACATGCCACAAAAGGAGGCCACAAAGCTCGAGATTGAGTAAGTCTGCCATTAGATTCCAATTTTCCAGAGATGAGAGTTACGTTCTTTAGCACACCTGCTGGTTTCTATATGAAGAGTCTCAGCGAGCAGGATGCAAATCTGATTAATGACGAGTGGCCCAATCGGCATGAAGGTTCCTTGTACTTCATAAAGCGACAAATACGTCTCTGTGCAAATGTTGGTTTATATGAGGCAAGTACTCAGGAGCTGGTTGCCTGGTGCATTAGGTGAGTGCACAGCAGTTATATGAAACAAGTTCACCTGGTTTAGCCTCTGCTGCCCACAGATTACAAGGCGGCTTCTTGGGCGCTCTGCAGGTAAGAGCAACGCACACACGACGTGGCTTTGGCAGTCTGGTCACCAAGAAACTCTCTCAGCGCATTGCTGTCGGCGGTCAGGATGTGATGGCCCTGGTGAATCCCGATAATCGAGCGTCAAATGAGATGTTCAGTAAGCTGGGCTTCCAAGTAATCGATCAATGTCTTTGGCTGAGAACTGAGCCCGTGTCTGGGGAGCTTATGTGGCCGGACGGGCAGTAAATGCCCGCACCCGGACTCTAGCTAATATGTACATACATGACATTCGTTAAAAATATAATATAATAAAATACTATTGACTATTGTATATGAATACAACTTTGGTATAAAAAAATATGCCAAGGCCTTTGCTCGATGTATTTCTGTTACTGCTGTAGCTGCTGCCACAGCCTTTCGCAGCGCTCCTGCAGCTGAGCCGGGCACTGCTGCACGCTGGGCTCCTGCCGCATGTCCTTGAGCAGCTGGCGCACACACTCGAGATCGTACTGCACGTGATAGGCGTTCATTTGGTAGCTATTGAAAAGTAATTGGCTGTTGTTGGTCGTTGTTGAACGGCGTTTGGCGATGAATTCCAAAAGCTCTATAAAATCGAGGTAGTTAATGCCAAAGCTGGCCCGCAACATGGTCTGGCAATGGGCCTCAAAGTTGTCCATCTGCTGGCAGTCGGCGATCTCTCGGCGCACAGCCTGCAAGTTGCTAAGCAGATTACGCCACACCAGCGGCACGTTGCACGCATTGAACCAGTTGTGGTTGACGGAGATGGTGTCCGTCATATTCCAGACCTGGTGATACCAGCCGCTGGGCACAAAGACAGCCTCGTTGGCAGTTTGATTGATCGAAAAGTAACGCACCTTGTGCTGCTCCAGCAGCGACTCATCTATGCTAAATGGTAGATTTGCTAGACGATCGGCCAGCTTCAGTTCCTCGCCAGGCGGCAGTATGAGCCACTTCTTATGGCCCACAATGTTTGTGGACCAGCTGTAGGACCCGAAAACATCCGAGTGAAAGGAAGTCCTGCACGCAGAACAATGATTAGTGAGTCCGTTTATTCGCTAGCTATCACTTACCAGGAATCCTTGGGTCCCATGTACACGAAGCGATAATCGTCGCGCTTCTGCTCAATTAGCTGCTCATTCAGCCAGTCGGAGGCGAAATACTTGGGAACTTTGTAGAATTCGTATGCCGGCAGCTGTGCAGCCAGATGCCAGTCCTTGAGGTAGAGATTATCCTTGGCAAGATTACAGTTGGGCTCCGTTGTCTGTAAGTTTGAATTATCCACTTCCATGCTGCGCTGCCAGCGCTCCAAGAAGTCGTGGAACTTCAGCTCCAGCTTGGCATGGCTATTGAAATATGTTGCATTGCAGTCGGCCACAGGCACAGCGAGATCGTCAATGCGGCTCTTGAGGTAGTCAAAATTGATGGGGCTTTGGATGCGGGTATTGGCGTTCTCATTATCATTGTCCTTATCTGTCTCTGCGGCTTGCGCCCAATTGCGGCACTCCCACGAGTTCGACACATCTGTTATAATCACCGGCCAGTTGGCGTGCATGTAGCGCCAGTAGAATTCATTGTAGCTCAACTCTTTGCTGTGACGCCTCTGTATATCGGTATTATCCACATCGGACTGTGGATTTTGTCGTGGTTGCAGCGCCAACAGCTCCGGCGCCGCCTTCTCTGACGCCATGTCAGAAAAACAAAACAAAAAACGTAAACAAAATATGATTTGAGATTGCAGTGTGTTACAAGGTCATGCATGAAGAAGGGCAGCACTTGCTCATTGAATTTTTGGTATTACATATAAATAAATATATGTCATATGTTAAAAAACAAATAACTCATAATTTTAAATTTGTATTTCATCCGAATACTTATAAAATGTTCATAAGCAATATATGTTATGTATTTTAACATATCCTGACATTGTGTGACGTCACAACCTACTCTGTTATTTTCTCTCTTGCTTACTGCTAGATTGCTGTGCGCTGTGCTCAGTGAGGAGCAATTATGTAAAGAGTAAAGATTGACTGCTGACTGCTCACTGTTAAAAGAGCGCATAGCTCAAACATGTTAAATGCCAGAGAGCACTAAGCGTGCTGTTAACAGGCTATACTGTTAATTCTAAGTTAAATACTCTAAGGAATTTTAGCCAGTACATAAACCATTAAATAAATTTGAGTTTTCTTTCTCTTTAAATTGAATTAAAAAAGCAATTAAATATTATTTACTGCATTCTGTTGTCATTTTATTGAAATTTATTTGCTAAACATTTTATCCGTTATCAAGATTTAACTACAATTTGGATTTTACATACAATATGTGTGTCATGTGTACCATTTCTTATATGCAAAAACCCAGTCGTCCCAGTATTAAGTGACGCACGCTTGAAGAATTCGAATTGAATTGTTATTATGTGTGAATTTGTTTTCTGTATAAGTTGTATATGCAAGTTCTATATAGCTATGCATGTATATATATGTAGTATATGTATAAACTTTACAGATATTTCATGCTCACGCCTTATAGGCAAACATTTAACCTAAAAACTAACGCTCGACTAACAACTTACTAAGATACAATGTAATTGTAATTGTAATTGTTATTTCAATCGTAATAATATTCATATTGAGTTTAATTTGCTAGAAATCAATTGAGGTTCATAAATCATAGAGCAGTGTGTGTGTGTGACTGTAGGTAAAAATTCTATGTACAGAATTACATACAAAATCGTATAAAATACGTCATAAAAAAGTTTAACAATAGTTTTTAAATATTTGCATAGAAAATGTACAATTATTGAGTTCATTTCATTCATTATGATGTATATTTATTTACTTAGGACTACGCACATTTGACTAAACTTTCTTTCGTTTTGTAGGTTCAGAAGGTACAGAGATACTGACAGAGTTTTCTTTTGGTTTAGGGAGAATTTCGAGTAATATATTTATTAATTAATTTATTTATTTTTTTAAATGTTTGCCAAATTTCATTTATGTACAATTTGTGTGCGTGACACGCACTTTAAGCTATTTGCCACGCCCACCTTTTTTTTGCTTACTTAACTAATTTAGTATGTGGTACGCTATTTATGTCGTTCAGTATATAATTTATACAACTGCTTAAAAAATTGAACTAATTATTTAATTAACATTTAATTAATGCTCGCCCCAAAGTTGCGCAAAGCTTTCAGTAATTTCCTATATATATTATATATATATTTAATATATTTATATAATTATAATTATAATAATGTAATATTCAATGTAAGTGTATGCTTTCCCACTTGGTTTTTCTTCTTCAATATTTGCATTAATCGAAGAAATTAATTCAATTTTATTTATTATATTTATTACACACTTGATATGTAGTTTTCGTGTAAACAACTAAATGAATCAAGTCGGAAACTTATGGAAATTGTTTTTAATTTATCATATTTCATATTTGATCTATTTCTGTGTTGGTCCAGTTGAAAGTCGCATTTGCGAATCTTTAGCGAATTTCGAATGGGAGCAGTTGGGTTGGGTGGATAGAAAACCTTTTTGTCTCTCAACTAAATTTCAACTTGTGTGGGTGTTGGCTTCTCTTGGCAGTCTGTAGATTGTCACATAACTTAATAAACAACAAAATTCGAAAGGTTTAGTTGGAACTTAACAGTAACTAGCCGAATACTCTTAGTCGTAGTAATATATACTTAAAGCTTATACAAACCATAGCTAGGCCATATCTTACGTAACTAGAATGCAATTTTATTTATTTAAGTTTCTCCTTCTTTAATATTTCATATTAATTTCTATTTGAATTCACTTTTATATGCAGCCAAATATATATATATTTTATTCATATAGATTTTCGTTGCATGCACCTCGACTAAACTGGTCTATCGTACAACCTGTTTGGAGCTACTGCTTAGATTTAATTAGCTGGAAGTACAGTTGTATGGATCATCAGTACGGAAATTGGGATGATCTTCGTAGGGCTTCAGTCCTGCCGCCTTCTTCTCATCGCGTAGCTTCTCCACCTGCTGCATGACGCGCAAGAAATTGCCCCCGGCTAACTTGGTCAGCTCGTCCATAGTCCAGCCTCCGCCCAAGAGTTCAGCGAACAAAGTGGGATACGAGGAAACATCCTCCAGGCCTTTGGGTGTGCTGCAAGAGAAAGAAAAAACAAAATGTTTATTAAATTTTATTTCTTATATGTGAAAGACTTTTGTTGAATGAAGTTAGAACTTCCTCTTAGTTTAACACATTACTCAATGGTTAACACTCATATTCAATTAGATGTCTTTTTAAAGTTTCTCAGTAATCAAATTTGAATCTTATTCATCTGAGTATATCTCAATTTGGATATCATAGAAATTGTGTTAAATCAGAACAACATTTATATTTGCTATGCACATTCTTCTTTGGGGGTCTTCAATTACATTTTATTTGCTTAATGGCAAATATGGCCATAAAAATTAAACAATAAACCAGACGCTAAATGTACCCAAACCCTGTTCGGATAATAAAGCAGAGCAGGAATTTATGCGAGTGGAGGCTAAATAAATAACAAACAAACAAAATATAATGGCAAATAAATAATAAATTTATATTCCTGCTCGCACTTGAAGAGAAAGAAGAAATAAATAATAATTTACTGTTATACGCAGCGTTTAGGCCACAATTTAAATGACATGGAAATGTAGTATATACAAGTGCTTAAGCACAATACAGGGTGCGCACAGACAGAACGAGTTGGGCAAAAAATAAGTTTCAGTATAATTAAAATTCAGTGAAATTGTGGAGTGCAAATGATATATGATGTAGCTAGTTGGATAGCGTCCATTTAATCAAGCACCCTGTTTTTGTTTTGTTTTAAGTATTTCAAGCATTCTTCAGTCAAACACAAAAACCAATTTCTGTCATTTGCCTTTGTCGTCGTTTATTAAGCTTTTCATATATATTTTGTTTAAGCTGCCTTTGCGGTTCGTCGTCTCTAATACGTGCGTGCATTCTTCCGTCTTCTATTGCTATTTCCATGCACTTCGCTTTGGTATTTTATTGTTTGTGCGCAAATTAATATCTCTCATTTGCGGTTATGGCCAGTGCTTTAAATTCAATTCGCATTCCACATGATAAATTTATCACAATAATCACGCATTAAAAGTAAATTTAATTAACAATACAAGCAGAGATCTGTACGAACTGGAAATACTCTTTCCACTGCTAACAAGGGCCGAGACTAAATTCGCATAAGATTTGATGGAATTCATTTTAATCCGGATGATTCTAATTTGCATATCAATCAAATAGTTTAAACTTTTTTATATATGTATCTTTATCTCTTTTTTAAATTTGTATCCGTATCTTTTTCTTTATATATATACCTGGATCTGTATGTTTGCATATATCATATTGCCAATAGCAGCAAGTCCACATATTAAGATTTCCTCTTTAGTTTCCATTTGGAAATTAAGTTTATACTGATTGACCAGAGGATTTAGTAAGCAATTATTAGAATATATTTGGACTATTTTTAATAGTTTTTGATGTATTAAATCAGCAGCTAAGTCCTGTATAGTATTGCTCTCGTTTAAAAGTCAGTTAAAATATTAATAAAAACCTTTTCTTGTCAGAAGCTTTCTGAAGCATACACATAAGTGAAAGATAATGGGAAATTAAGTATTTATGATGTCAAGAAAAATATATATCTTTTAAATTTTGTTCGTTTTTAAATAAATATTTTTGCTGATTTTTCAAGCTTAGATATTTTCGAAAGCCTAAATTAATAATCAAAGACATAACTCATATGCAAGGTGACAGTTTGACTACTCTGCATTTCATTTGCTTTGACCTCTATGGCCAAGAAATATTAAGCTATATTTAAGTGGTTGAGATGAATTGCATTAGCAATTGCTTTCAACAATTTATGGACAATTATGTAGAACAAAAGATTTGATTAGCTACAAATTCTGAATAATGCCTGAGTTGGCTGATTGGGCTGGTCTGGTGCTTGCTATTTGATACAAGCTTAGAGGATTTGATTGGTAACTCAATGCTATGGTCAGAGTAAATGGAATAATTAAAATGCATCATTAGCTATTTTATATTGGCCATCTTGCAGGTTGCATACGGAAAACGACTGAGGCAATTCATCGACTGAGCCAATTAAAATAGAAAATGAAAAGCGGCAAAGCTAACGAATTTATCTAGTATTTATGAAAATCATAATATTGTGACATACTTCATTTTGTAGCTTAAACTCTCTTCGCATTTTGAGTGTATTTTAATAAACGTTAAAAAATTGGCATAAGCATGCGATAGCCTGGCCAAAACTATGGAAATGTGTCAGGTGTCATTGAAGTGGCTCGGAATGCAGTATTACTAGCAGCAGCAGCAGCAGCAACAACAACTGTAAATGTTGAAAACAACGCAGCTTCAATTGCTGCTTGTTAAACGCATTAAATGCCAGTCAACGCCCTAGGGCGTGGCTGTGGTTGGCCATGCGGGGCTCGAGCCGGAAAAATACCATTTGACATTGTGTAATTTCATAGAATTTTAGATTATTTATTGTGAAATACTTGTGCCACTGTGCGTGTGTGTTGGCAGTGTTATGTGTGTGTTGTGTGTTGTGTGAGTGGCCTATAAATATTCATAAGCGCAATTTCAGTTGTGTTTTTTGCACATTTTTTTTTTGCTGTTGCTTTTTCGGCGAAATGAACTTCGCTTCGTTTTGGAAATTGATTTACATGAAAATTGCTGTCGAAAATTTTCATATGCATGTCGCATTACAACAACAGCGGCAAGCGGCTTGTTGTGGCTGCAAAAATTCTGTGGCATGTAGTAAAAATATTTAATTGAAAAACACGCAACAAATGGCAGGGGTGAGGGTGCGTGGGTGGGCCTGCAAGGGTCAGGACATACAGGGACTGCGTCGCTCCTCAAATTTCGTGGCTTTGTTTGTTTTTGTGCTCTGTGTCGCCAAAATAAAAGGCAGTGAGACGAAAATAAATGCAAATTTTCGGTTGACAGTGTTATCGAGTTATTGCTGCTGATAACGTTGAATGCTAATGATAATGAGAGGTGTGTGTGTGGGTGTGCGTGTGTGCCTCTGACATATTGGTAACCATCAGAGCGAACCGAATTACGTCCACTTCCAGTTTAAGCCCTTTGCAGCAGACACCAAACAATTTAAATTGAAGTGTGAAACAGTTTGGCAAACATCTCTCTATAACTAATTTAAGTTGAAAAGTCTTCGCAGTTGCGACATTATATAGCGCGAATGTATCATTTCATAGTTGTCCTTTGCAGGTCTGAAACTGTTTGCTTTGCTGTAAATGGAAATTTAGGAAAAACTTGAGAAACTTGAGAAGCTTTGCTTATAATACACATATAATATTTATTATTGTTATAGGATTTCTTTAAAGATGAGCTAATATAAGTTGAGTTAGTGAGTTAATATAAGTAGTTGGTATCTACTTTAACTTATTGCTAACGACTCTTTCCATACTATTTAGCTAACTTCTTTACTTTTCTAATGCTTGCTCTACAGATAAAGCACTTATATTTCCTGTCACAACTATTCAACTTCATTATATGGGTCTGGATAGACACAAATATACATGAAACATATATTCTAAGTTCCAAGTCCATAGTCAAGCAGCTAACATACTCTCACAAACTTTGTAAGCTAGTATTAGGAGATACATAAAGTTATTAAGCAATTCTCAAGGCTGTCGCGACGATAAATAGTACATCTGCCCTTGGCAACCAGCATAATTATTCGCTGTGCTTGTTTCTTCCTCTCTTACCCAGTCACTTTTCTCATGCTTCCCGTTTGGAGACCCTAACGAACCGCAATATGAATTGGCAGCCGCAATATGCCAATGTTAAGCTGCTGTACTTAAATAGAATCAATTAATAACTTAAAAACCACCTGGGCAAGGCCAGCGACAGAGAGTGGGAGGGAGAGAGAGACGGGAAGCGATGCTCAGTTACTGTAGCAGTTGCTCTCTGTGAAGCTTGTGGCCAAGGGAAATGCGCATTTAAGTGAAATAAATGACTTTTACTTACTAATTAATGCCGTCGTAGCCGGCGCCGAGGCCAACGTGATCGATGCCAGCAACGCGCTTAATGTGATTAATATGCGCTGTGTGTGTGTGCGTGGGTGTATATCAGCGGGTGTCCGAGTGTGTGAGTGTCGTTTTGCATTTCGTTGTGGGTGGTCAGCAGGATATCGAATGACAAGCATTCAGCCGTGATGTTGTTTTTGTTGTCGGCGAGTTCATTAGAGTCCATTGTTAAGTGAGCGCCGTTGTTGTTGTTGTCGTTGTCGTTGCCACCATCATCATAAGCCGTCGTTATTAAAATTTTGCAAATTTGAAATGTGTCCAGGCGCCAAGACAATGCCATGAAAAGACAAAAAGAGATGGAAACCAAATCATGTCGCATTAGACAATTGCACAATAAATACCAAAAAACAAAATAATATCGCAAAAAGGCAAGCAAACAATTACGAAGTAAAAGATGGAATGTTAACATGTTTTAGATACACTTTAGTTGAAGTTTCTGATTATCGAAATTGAATTTTTGTATTGAGGTATGAAATCATATCGAACTTTTTCTCAGATTCAGATCAACAGATTTGACTGAACTATGTATGCATATAGCAAGCCCTTGAAGGATCATTTGCCGACTTAGTAGTAGCCTCATTTGCCCTTTCGATTCAATATCCATTATTAAGCTCACTCACAGCGGCAGCATACCCATTTGGCTTAGGGTAGGAGCAACCGAATTGTGTAAAAGCCAACGAAACAGGAAGTGATTACGTCCACCATTTTGATGGCGTGTCAAAAGCAATGCCAACAAAAAAAATGGCAGCGCAAGCCGAGAGGCAATAATGAACTAGCTGAAACAATGGGCTGACAATCAGTGGTGCTGGGTGGCACTGGGTGCTGCCACAGAGACCGCAGTCAGTCGGCGGCGTTAATTGTTTTGCATGCTTACAAAAAATTGCACAAATTAAATGGAATTTCATTGAAGGCAAAAAAAGGAAATGAAACGAGCTTAGAAATCAAAGTTAATACAATTTTAATGGAAAACTTACCGACTGCATCCTGAACCGTGGAATTGTCGCTGCAGGACAAAAACTTTGAATAAAAGTTGACCATGACGAGGCCGCCGTTCTTGGCCAGCGACTGCAGGATGTCGTCCTGGACGTTGCGGCTCGTATTGCACAGCTCGTAGGCAGAGGAGTGCGAGAATATGACTGGAGCCTCGCTCACCTCGAGAGCGTCGCGCATTGTGCCCTTGGAGACGTGCGACAGATCCACCATCATGCCCAGCCGATTCATCTCGCGTATGATTGTCTGCAACGAGTCAAAGGGGGGCCAGGATTAATGAAAGTTCGTTAGTCAGTGATTAGAGCGTGGTCAGCAGACATTCGGCGCTGACTGTGCGGGGTCTTAAATGGCTTTCATATCAAAATGCGATGCCATAAGCTAAGCCCACGTCATAAAACAAAGGCAACGAGCGATTGAGTGGAGGCGGCGACCAGAGCAGCACCCAAGCACCAAAAGGACAACCAAACAGTTTCATTATGCATGTACTTTTACTTAACCTTTGACCCTCGCACAATGGCTAAGTAAATTGATATTGCTTTGTCTGTCTGTGTGTCTATCTGGGCCTCTGTGTGAGTGTGTGTGTGTCTGTCTCTTCGTCCCACTGTAATTTGTATTTACGCGCGGATTTATGGCCGTTGCGTCATGTGTGTGTCTGCGTGTGTGAGCAGCTTACATAATTACTAATCAGATGCAGTTACATTTGGCGCCACAAATTATGAGCAAATTAATTACACTGCGCGAGATTAACTTCAGTAGCAGAGATACTTATCAAGCACTCAAAACAAGCTCAAATTTCGCATTCAAATTGCAGAGCTACAAAATGTATCTAGCAACTGCAGAGGATCTAAAGATATATATATATATATATATATATATATATATTTGATTTGCATATATATATTTGCAAATGAGAAGCAAAGCAGTAGATGGAATTTAGTTGTCTTTGAGGTAAATTTATCTATATTTAGTTGGTTTAAAGTCAACTTATCTGTAGCTAAAATGTGAACAAATTTGTTATTTTTTAAGTGAATTTTTGGCTGCTAAGCCAAGTTTTTCTACAAATTTTTATCATTTTGAATGAATATTTTTAAAATATACTTTAAATTTTCATTATTTATACAAAACTAAATTACATTAAGCTATTAAACAACTCATTTCATTTGAGACATAGTCAAGCCGAATTGTCGACAAACTTAAAAAGCATCAAATAAATTTCTTTGCAAATTTAGTTACTAATATCTGATAGAGCTACTCCACATCTTCAAATTCTCTTTTAAATCCCTTTTTGCCATGTAGCTGAGTTCACACACAACAGCTGCTCCAAGCTCCATCTATCTGTTCTCTCATAAACACCTCTCGACCAGGTATAAACCCCTTCAGATTCCAGTTAACTAAGCTCTTTGCATGCATGAATCAGTGAGTCAATTCATCAATTTAATATTTGTGTACAACTAAATTCTTGCAGTAGAGTTTTTTTCAGTGTATGCTATGTGCGATTCCATTTCGCAGATAATTTTTAATTGCCCTCGTGAGTGCGCGGAGCGCGCGGCGCAGCAGCAGGAGTTGGGAGAGTTGGCTAAATCGGAGTAGTTGGGGGAGTGAGAGATCTAACCATATAGTCAATAGTTAGAAACGGGCGTCTGTTTGTTTGGGGCTGTTGGCCTTAAATTAGCTAACAAATTGCAGTTGGCCGAAATGCTCAATTGCCATAATGCCTGTGCACTTAATGGGCGTGGCATTAAAGCTCGAACGTAAACACGGTCAAAACTAATTGGAATCATTCGAATGTATCTGTGTGAGGATATCTGACTATGTGTGCTTATGGCCGAGTGTTGTGCTCCAGAAAATGTGTATTAAATGCTTATTGTCGCCTAATTACACACACACACACATACATACACAATAGCAAATGTTGTCTGAACAATGGGGGCGTGGCAGACTGCGCATTAAATCTTAATTAACGGTGCACACAGCACGGCTTATGCAACTGTCAGTACCTCTGTGAGAGAATGTGTGTGCCTGAGTGTGTATGTGTGTATGTGTGTGTATGTGTGTGTATTTGTGTGTGTGTATGTGTGTGTGTATGTGTGTGTGTGTCTGTGTGTTCTCTGAGCTGTTTACAGCAAGTTGAAGCAGTAAATTAAAATATAACAAATTATTTGGTGATTAATTGCTAAGGCCCCGCCAATACGTTATTTATATTTATGGGACATATATATATATATATACTATATAATATGTGCTGATAGCTAGCATATATTCTTTTTACAATTCATTTAACAATCAAAATAAATGTAATCAATTCAATTGCAATACATTTTTATTTTTGCTTGGCCCATTTAATTGCACTTTTAATTGAGACCATTATGGTGCCACGCGGCGTATGCTTAATGCTATCCCACACGCAAATTTGCCAATAAATAAATGAGTAAATCAATTATTTACTTTTAAATGCATTAACTCTGCTGTTAAAATGATGCCAGCTAATAATATATATGTATATATATATGTATATGTATATGTATATGGTATGCCAAATGAAACGTGCCCTAAAACGAGCCGAATACCAAACCGTATTATATTCTTATTAGAAAACAGCTTAGATTTCACATACAAATTTTTGAAAACATTTCTTGCTATTAAGTCGAAATAACTTAGCCTTCAGGCATTGCACTTGTCTTAATAAATTATTTGAAAATGAATTCAAATGTCTTAACAAATATCTTAAAGTGTCTAAAGTCGTCCAACTTCTCTTTTACTGTTCAAAATTTATCTAAATTTATTTAAAAATGAATTGGTATCTTGTATGTTGTATGTTGCTATTGACTTTATGATGCTGCTATTTGAGCAGCCCTATAAATGTCCATATGCCACATTCAAGTAACATCGAGTAGCTCGCTTGTGGCCTGCTGTCTATGTTCGAATTGTGGACAACGTTATTAAGCCACCAGTTAAAACCGCCAAAAGGCGATGCGCATAATGCGAATCACTGGCTTTGCCGCTGACTGAGTGACAGGCAAATTGAGGAGCAACTTTTCACAATGCTCATTAATGTCAGACTTCAGCTGCCAACTACCTACCAGTTGCCTCTCCCGGCCACTTTTGTATCGATGTGTCAGGCTTTAGCCTCAGCTTCGGCTATAGCGTGAGGCGCCAACAATGCCGCTGTCAGAGGCAAACACAAAAAGAGAAAAAGAGCAAAAAGAACTGGCCACAGGACTCGGTACGCATCCTTGCAGCCATTTGCTGCCATGTCGGATTGATGCCTTTTGTTAGCCATTTCAATTGTGAATGCGAAATTGTTATTAATTTTTGGTTGCGGCCAAATGCATTTTTTCGTATAGATTAGCGGCGATTCACAATTAAATTTCGATTTTCCACTAAAAAGAGCATATATAAATGGAATTCCAGCTAAATATGCTTACAAATTTAATATTCAATTAGCAGTCGAGGCACCATTTTGCTGCATCGATAACAACAAATCTGCCAACGTTTTTAAATTGCATTCAGTTTTGCGTTTATTGTTTTTTGTTTGTTTTATTTTTTTTTTTTGGGGTAAAAATATTGCATTTAAATTTGCTTAAATCTGCGCTAAAATAGTTAAATGAACTTTTGGGCAAAAATAAATGAACTGGCATAACGAAACAAATGCCAAGCCACAAAACGAGTTAACATGGACACACATATATATATACATATATATGTGTATATATATAATATATTCACTCACTCGCAAAGCGTATTCTGTTACGTGTTTGGCAAAAACTCATTAAAAACTTTAAATTGAAATAAAATAAAATGCATATTTATATTCATATATATATATATATATATTATACATATATACTCCATAATATCTATATATACTTATAACTGGGCCAATGCATTTGAAACCTCGTGACAATATGCAAAAAGTTGTAAACTCGCCAAATATCCTTTTGCAATCGGCTTATAAATATTGCACAGACCACAAATGTGTTTCAATAAGTTTTATGGAACAGTTTATAATTAATTTGCATTTTTGTTTCGGCTCTTGCGCAAATCTTTCCTTTCAGCTGTTTCCCAAATGAGAACATATTTAATTAATTTTATTCAACTCTCTGTGTACCACGGCAATTTCGAATTGCATATCCTGCTTGATTGACGCATTGATTGCCTGAGTGACTGACTGATTAATGATTTAAACGCTGCTCTGAAGGTAAGCTGACAGAATGTTTTACAACATTTACAAATGTTATGTTAAGTTAAGATTCTCGATTTAAATAAGTGAAAATTTTTTTAACATAATTCGTCTTTTCACCATTTGATTGGGTTTTCAAAGTTATTTTCTAACAGATCTTGGAATTATATTCCTTTGAAAGCTAAGCATTGAGATGTTCTTTTGTCAGCGAGAGCTTTGCGCCAGGACAGCAAGAGTTAGTTAGCTTTTTGAGTCTTTTAATGCTGGTTTAGTACGTCCTCAAATTATAAAGATGATCGCATCATGTGAGCAAAGATTTTTGTGGCTGTATGGAAAATATAACTTGCAATTCCACAAAAAACAGTAAAACATATAAAAAAATATATTAATTAATGGAAAATAAGTTTGGAAACATCAAACGACTCAGTAAAAAATATATAAAAAATATATATATGATTTTAAAAGTTATTGCTTTTTAAATATATTTTATTTTATATCAAAATTTAATTTGTTTTATATATTAAAAATTTTATATTTATGTAATGTTTGTGAATATATTATAATATTTGTATATTGGCATAATTGTTGGTTTCATAAATAGTGAATTCACTTTATACAAAATATTGCTTGGCTTGAATACACATGGAATATAAATATAAAAATAGTATAAATTATTTAATAAAATTTTATTATGTTAGCATTTGATACACAGTTTTTAAGCCTTTAAATGGAGTTAAATGTATTACCCAGAGCGAGAGCTAAGGAGCCTTTTCAATTTACAAAAAAGATTTCATTGTCAGCAAGTCGCGATTCGCATTTTGCACACACAAATTGTAAGAATAATGAGAGCTCCACGGAGCTCTTATCTCTAAATACTGAGTGTGCTTACGCAGCACGCGAGGCAGATATATATATGAGATCCAGTGGCTCGATTTCGCCCCCTCATGTATAGATTGGAATGACCTAATAAATCCGTTTTATGTCTTGCCTTGGCGCCGCCTTCGACTGCCCGGAAATGCTGGCGGCTGTGGCTGTGGCTGTGGCTTCGGCTGAGGCTGCGGCTGCG